GGGGGGAGGGGGAGGGGGGGGGACCAGGATAGTGGGGGATTAGGATAGTGTGGAACCAGGATAGTGGAGAACCAGGATAGTGGGGGACCAGGATAGTGGGGGACCAGTATAGTGGGGGATTAGGATAGTGGGGAACCAGGATAGTGGGGGACCAGTATAGTGGGGGACCAGGAGAGTGGGGGAGTAAGATAGTGGGGGACCAGGAGAGTGGGGGACCAGGATAGTGGGGGACCAGGGTAGTGGGGGACTAGGATAGTGGGGGACTAGGATAGTAGGGGACTAGGATAGTGGGGCGAGGGGCATCACCTTCTAGCAGTAGGAGGACTGTGAACCCAAGCAGTGAGTGGAGACGGAATATAGAGGACCTGGGGAGGGAATTTTTTGTCTAGAAAGGGACAGGAGGCCAGGAAGAACATAATTTGAATTATGCATGAGGTTAATCAGACCTGAACACCTTGGAGAGGAAATGGGTATGTCACATACCATATATTCGGCCCCCTCTTCCCCTATGCCTTCCCTCTGGTAACCACCATACTGTTGTCTGTGTCTCTAAGTTTCCATTTGCTGCCCCACATATCAGTAAAACCATATGGTTCTGAGCTTTTCCTGACTGGCATACTTCACTTAGCGTCATGTTCTCACGGCGCATCCATGGTGAAGCAAATGACAGTACTTCATCCTTCCCCATGGCTGAGTGAATTCCATGTGTGTGTGGACCACGTCTCCACCCAGGCCTCCATCGCAGGGCACTTTGGTTGTCTTCAGGTCTCGGCCACCGTGAATAATGCTGCAGTGAACGTAGGGGTGCATATCTTTGAGGAAAATGTTTCTAGTTTTTGGGTGCTTAGAAGAGAGGTTGCTAGGTCATATGGTAACTCTATTTTTAATTTTTTTTAAACCACCACTGTTTCCCATAGTGGCTGTACCAGTTTGCATTCCCATCAGCAGTGAATGAAGGTTCCCTTTTCTCCACAACCTCTCCAACACTTACTTGTCTTGTTGATAATGGCCATTCTGGCAGGTGTGAGGTGGTGTCTCGTCGTAGTTTGGATTTGCATTTCCCTAACTGCTGGTGAGGTTGAGCATCTTTTCATATCTTTTGGCCATTTGTACGTCTTCTTGGGAGAGGTGTCTGTTCAGGTCCTCTACCCACTTTTTTATTGGATTTTGTTTGTTTCGTGTTGAGTTGTATGAGTGGAATCTTTAGGGTTTTCTATACCCAGAATCATGTCATCTGCAAAAAGTGACAGTTTTAGTTCTTTGTTCCTGATTTGGATCCTTTTATTTCCTTCTCTTGGCTGATTGCTCTGACTAGGACTTCCAGCACTGTGTTGAGTGAGAGTGGCAAGACTGACCATCCTTCTCTTGTTCCTGATCTTAGAGGAAAAGCTTTCAGTTTTCATTCTTGAGTATGATATTGGCTGAGGGTTTATCTTATACTAGAGGCCCAATGCATGAAATTCGTGCAAGGGGCCCAGCCCTCACAGCCCCAGCTTCATTCAGAAGGTCATCTGGAAGGACATCCAGAAGGTCGTTCAGCTGTCCAGGCTAATTAGCATATTATGTTTTATTATTATAGATGGCCTTCATTATGTTGACATACTTTCCTCCTATACCCATTTTATTGAGTGTTTTAATCATAAATGGATGTTGCATGTTATCAAATTCTTTTGCATCTATTGATAAGGTCAGATAATTTTTATCCTTCCTTTTGTTAATGTAATGTGGTGTATTACACTGATTGATTTGCATTTGT